TTTCATACTCATGACATTATATCTTTCATATTTATTTTATGTCTCTCCACAAACATGCTCAATGCAACATTAATCACATATCAACATAAGCCAATTTACTTTTATCCAAATCACATCGAAACATGCATCTCATTTCACATTTGCATTTTATTCATTTCCAAAAGCATATTCATGCTTACAAACTAGGTACAAGCTATTATAATAAATTAAACAAGTAAAAGCATAAATTAGAATTCCCTCAGTTACTTCAAATATTTGAGTAGTTGAATGTTTACCCCTTAATACAAGCACTTACGAAACTCTTGCCAAGCTTGAATGGTGCCAAGGATGATTATTCTACAATTAATCATACCTATAATCATTAATATCACTATTAATGAAATTACAACCCTTTTTAATTAACACTTCATCAACCCAATTTATATCCTCTTGCATTTAAGCAAACCCATTAGATTTATTAATTTCCTTTATCCTACAGTAGCTCCATTAAACTCTTAAATTAACGTTAATGGTTTTCAACCATCTTCAACCACCTCATTTAATATCTATTTTCAAACATTAATGTTACCTAACAACCAAAAACGTGCACAGTCATAAACTCTAGGTTTAAATAACTCAAATAACTTCCATTGATTCTGTTTAAATCAATGGGTTTAGAACCATTCCTATAAGTCCAAAAATCCACTTTTTTCTATAAAACCTAACTCAAAACTAAGAGAAAATGGAAGAAGAAGGAAGGAAAGGACATAGGAGACTTACCCCAAGTGGTAATAAGCCTCAAAGTACTCCTAAACCTCCAAAAATTCAAACCCTAATAGAGCTATTAGCGTGCTCTTCATTCCTTCCTTTTTTCTCTTCCAATTTTTTAAAAAATAGACTATCTGCCAAGGAACATGCTGCCCAAGTTGTAAGGTCTCTCTCACTAATTCAAAATTAACTCTATTATTGAGATAATTACAGGACTAACCCAAGTAAATTACCAAGTTAGTAAAATTTACATAAATGGAATCTCAAGTTTTCAAAACTCAAAATGCTATAAAAATCATTAAAAATCATTTTTATAAAATAAAATCAGAGAAAAACATATATACGGAAGCATGGACATCTTATAAAGTAAGATAACATCAAATTACGATTAATATAGAAAAAAAAGGATTCCGAGATAATTACACTGCAGCATAAAATTTTATGTTACAACATAAACTACAGAATCTATGATAGCAAAAAGCAATCATGGTAGATTTCCTGCCCAAATTTTTGACGCATACTAAATCTCTATCCAACGTCCAATTAAGGTGATCTAGGTGTCTACAAAAAGCTTTCTTCAAACTCTAGCTAATAGCACTAATTTCACATTCAAATCATTTCTCAATCAAAAGTTGGATATCAAAATGAAAATTTGCAATAAATTGTATAAGACTCGTGCAATACACCACACTCAACTAAAAATACATGTATCACAAATTCACCATTCAACCTCATAACACATAAAACATAAGGGGGAGAAATTTCTTGCATAAAACAATCATTTTCACTCCAAACCAATCAAAATACACATATTCCTGCTTGTATAAGTATTTTGGCCCCATACTAGGGTTTACAACCAAAACTCACTAATTCAGGGCACAAAATACACAAGTGTGATACAATAATAATGCAAGTAGTACCAAAAATATTCATGTAATTCTTGGTTGGTAAGTTAACAATCTTAATACACATAAAACAACATAAAGAGTCATACAAAGGATTATTCCACAATCCTATGCCTCGGCTCATTTTTCACAACATAAAAAGGCCTTAAAAATATTGAGAATTAAGGGGTGAGTACAACTACTCAATAATCAAGTTTCATCTAATATATATAATTGCATATCAATAAAAACGAATGCAATTGCCAATAAATACACGCATAAACATGTAAGACAACATATAGCCTCAACTACAATAATAACAGCCATGTGATCGAACTTCAAATACAATAATCATATATATATATATATATATATATTAGTAACACATAACCTGGGGTCGCAATAATATCAACTATGCACCTCTAAACTGTATCGGACCACAATACTAACAACCATGTGGCCAAGACTAAATGCATAATCACATGCCAATCTTATACCCTCCTGATTAACTCCAACATGAAACTGGCGACTATTTGATGGCTACGTCCTTCACGGACTAACCCAACCTTCTACTGGTAAGGAGCTACTAGGCTAGGATCAATTCATTTACTTGTGCAATTCGGTTTCTCCTAATACTAACAACCATGAGGTGTTGTACCCCTAATCTAACCTCCTCATAAATCGATGGAGACTAGTTAGGTTCGAGTCCCTTATAAAACAAGTAGGACAGTCCTGAATCAATTATGAGATAAGGGCTACCTCCTGATTCTAATGATCAGTGCTAAGGCAAGCTCTCAATTCTAACGATTGCTGCTAATACCACGTGAGTTTAGTCAACTACTCCTCTCCTTAGGTAAACTCTCACTAATGATCATACTATGCACATATATCACATATGTATATGCATTCTAATCAACCATTCATATTATGAATCCATATATCCATACTTACACCTAACTCACTCCACACACTAACTAGTGCATAATCACAATTTCTTATTTATCATCACTATTAGCATATATATGAACATACATATAATTTGTAACAATAACACATCACCAATCATGCCAAATGTGCATCATGAGTTTAAAAATATTAAACATGTTTCAAATCAACCATTTCAACAAATAATCAATTAATATTCAACTGTATAAACTAGGCTTCCCCCGACTACCTCAAACCTTTAAGAGGTCAAAGGTTCACCCCTCAATAAAAGTTCTTCACAAGCTATACCAAAGCTTGAATAGTGCACAAGATGATTGATTTACAATTAATTATACCAATCATCATTAAAATTATCATAAACACTCTTCCAACTTTCATAAGTCAATACTTTAATTACCCAAAAATTCAATCTCTTACACTTAAACATAACCATTAGGTTTATTAATTTTCATTAACTCCATTTAGCTTTTATTAACTTAAATAATCACTAATATAACACTCAACCATCTAAAATCACACATTGGAGGTCTAAAGTTCATCCAAAATAGATGATCCAAGCTTACAACCTTGTAAAAACGTCTAAATTATGTGTAAAATACTTAAACAACTCCTATTAGTCACATTTAAACTAATGGGTTCAGACTCATAGCCTTAAATCCAAAAATCATCATCTCCCGACCTTGAATCTCACTTTCAAAACGTGTAGAGGGAAGAAGAAGAGATAAAGAAGGCATACCTAGGTGAAACTAAGCTTCAAACACTTCTAAAATACCCAAGAGTTGATACCGTAGTAGAGAAAACATTCTCTTAGTTGCCCTCTCTTTGTTTCAGGTCTCACACTCTGTTTTTTAAACTGATTTTCATGTTTTAAAACTGGTATAAAATATTATGCTGCAGCATAAATTTTTATGCAGCAGCATAACGCACTGTGAGCTAAAAATCTAATTTTTCTTTACAATTTATGCTCCAGTGACCCAATTCACTTCTGAACTCAATCCAAAAACTAAAGCCAAACCTAATAAATTTATCTAACTATCCTCAAACCTAATTATACTTAAGTTTTCATAATTACCCTTTATTAGATTAATAAAGCATGGGAAAATATTTTAGGATATTATAGCCCGCACCGTGGTGAATGTTACAAAGAGGTTCACTCTCGTTATTTGGTCTCTACACCACGATGAATGATGCACAAGCTACGATGGATGGTACAGAGATGGATCTTCCATGTTTTTCTTCCTCTTTCAAGGTCCAGGTGGCCCAACTTCGCTCAAAGCCCTATCTTAAAGTTGAAACCACAACCTAATATGTTTATTAGTCCTTTCTAACCATCTTAAATTACAATCTCACTTTTAAAGTTACTTATTTATTCTTAACTAAATTAACTAATCCAATATCTAATTTTTTATATGTTAGAGTCATTACAACTAGCACGTGTAACACATGTAGGAGCAAGGCACATGGATGTTGAGCAAAAAAGCAGCACAAGGAAGTGAAGTAAAAGTTGACTCTGGCACCAATTGATGTGAAACGAAAAGAGGAAGAGAGAAAAGAGATAAAGAAGAGAGAAAATAGAAAGGAGGGAGAGAAAGAAGAAAGGGAAAGGCTGAAATTTTGAGAATTCTATTCAATAATAAAAAATAATTTGAATATAAATGAAACTCTATCTCTATTTATAGAACTCCAAAAAATAATAATAAATCTAAATTCAAATTCTAAATCTAATTTAACAAATAGTGATGGGATGATAATATCCTATTTTTTCGTATAAATAAATGAGATAATGATTAAATAAAATAATAAATCTTAATTAACTATTATCCCATATTCCATTACAAGGTCGAAGCCCATGTTATCTAGAGTATCAACATGCTAAATTCCTTCCCTAGTAATAACAGCTACTTGAATCTCCCAATCCTTTTCCCATCATCTCCAACATACGATCCAGCACTCCACAATTCTGTTCAAGATCAGAATGGTTGAGATGAAAACATTTATTAGTTCAAAGAGAAATCTTTCCATATACTCCCTTTGCATACAATTTTGTTGTTATCAGCAAAGTCTCGAATCTTGATCATTAGATTTTATGTCTGACCCCTCCAAACTCTCAAATGACATGTGGATTTCTCATTCACTTTGTGAGCTCCTCCAATAAGTAGGGACTTGCTAACTCCTATACTTCCTAAGACCCAAAAAAACCTAAGTATTAGTAGAGCCAGTAACTCATGCAAGCCGTGCTTATTAAAGTCAAGCTCAATTTGAACCAAACTTATTCAGATCAAGTTTGAAATATCTCACCCTTTTACAAAATCCGCACACGCACACACGCACGCAATCATACCATCTGCTGCCTCATGCAATAAGAATGGTCCGCATTCCAACCGTATTGCAAGGACAGCAGAGAAAGACTTGAAAGAGATTGCATATAGAAAAATCACCAAGATTCCCTTCCCCGTTTAGCGTGCGTATGAACAGTTAATTCCTATGAGCTGGTCAATGAACCAAAAGTACGTGTGCTATCTGAGCAGACACACGTTGAATTCAAGTAGAGTCAATATTTAAATTGGGTAGCTCAGCTTTTATACAGACTTTTGCAACCTCAATTACGTATAGCAAATTGCAAGTGATCAGTACTATGCGCCTCTGCCTCCTCTTTGCCTCTTTTCTTCCAAAGCAGCAGCCTCATTCAACATATCAGCAGCGTCCTTTTGCATGTCCAGCTTCGCTAGAGCAACTGATTGCATGTAGAATGCTACAGGCCAGTCTGGATAAACACATTGCGCTTGCATTGCATCTCTCAGCGCAGGATCTGGTTGATCGCATAACAGGTAGCATAGACTGCGCCGAGCAAAAACCGTTGGTGACACCATTGTTCCAACATCAATAAACTGCATCAACCACAAACGATAAGGATCTCTAGTTCAAATCTCATGCTCAACAAGCATGAAATTGACAAACATGAGCAATGTCCAGCAAGTGCTGAGTTGCACCTGTGAATAATTTTCAATTGCTGTCTTGAAATCTTTGTCACGGAATGCATAGTCTCCACGCTTCCTTGCTTCCAACATATCCCTCATCTGTTGGGTCCATTCTTGGAAAGACAACTAAACCGAACAAAAAATTTAAAGCTTTTAGCAAAAACTGTAATGTGGATTAGTATTGAAATTGTAATAATTCATTACCTCATTAGTCCCTTCATCATCTCTGTAGTGTGTTGCAACCAAGATCTGATGTATTGCAGTGAGGTCCATCCTTGAACAAGCCTCACCCATGGCTGAAAGAGGGCGTTGTGGGGTTGATGGAGCTTCCTCATGCTTTGGAATTCCAAGCAGAATATAAGAAGGTACCTAAAAAATATCAATGACCTATAAATGATGTAGTTTGATTCCTTTTTAATGCCAAAACAGGCAATTAGTGAGCATGGGTATTCATGTTAGGCTAATGGAGATACCCTTACTTGTCCTAAAGTACAATTTGTTCAACTGCAGCTAAGTCTGTGATATGGTAGGGGACACACACAACGATTCCAAAAAAGAAAGTTACAGTAATGACAGAATAAGATGCAAAAAGCATGGAAAAGATTGGCTGAGATGCAAAATTCTACACAAATTTAGGTTAGAAGGAACCCTAAACCCATAACTCTTGAATTTTCACGTACATTGTACCCTAACATCAATTTATGAGTCATTTTAGTACTTGGGGCATTAGAATATCCACATATCAAATGGCAAATGCTAAAAATGTTGGCCAAAACAAGAATGCCAAGAGACTCTACTATGCATATTCTTGATTACTAATTACTAACATGTAGCTCTAGATAGCCAAAGCACAAATTCACATCATTTGAAGGACAATTGGCTTCCAAAAATCATCAAGGAAGTTATCATGAGCAATAAATATGCATCTGCAATATCACTTTTTTTAAAGTAAGTCTTGAAATACATGCATAAGTCCAAAGTTTACATTCATAGATGAATAATCAGATTTGATCTGATGATACTAGAAAAATCAAAGCCTAAAATTAATGCGCAGGGAAATCAGTGATCATGCATGTAATGACTCGAGATGTTCCAAGCTAGGGGAAAAAAAATTACAAATGAAAAGGTACGCTAGCCTAGTCACAGTGACACCAGCCAAAGGCTGCCACCACATAATACTGGCCGGGTCATCAACCTTGTACATGCTGAGTTTGGCATTGTCGGTCTAGTTCTATGTGTTATTGATCCAACTAAATGCTCCTATAATATTGAAAAACAAGACAACATACAGTCTTGGCGTAAAACCATTTTTAGATAAGTTCTATATCACCACATATACAAATGGTATGTAAATATGAATTATAGTAAAGAAGGTTAATAAAATAAATGAACTTTCTAGGGATGGAAGTGGAGGCGAGGTACATGCTAAAAACAATTGATTGTAGTTCATATGCTGTTATCACATATTAATATGTTCATAAGAATAAAAAAGGTTGCGTATCAACACCCATTATCAATCTACGTGCAATGAAACATTTATATACTAGTCTCTTCTTCATATATTTTACTTAGAAACGTCTCAAAAAAGTTTTTAATGCACCAGAATATATAATTTACGTCATAAACTACAGAATGTATACTTTCCTTTGGACTGTTGACTTTGATTAAGATGATATCAGAGCTTGGCATCTACAAGTAGTGAGGAAATTTACTCCCAAGTAGTAAAATTTATAAATTAGGGTTAAGGTGCAAAAATACCTAGAAAGTATTTTTCTAGAAGCTGCTGTCATCCTCAACTTAATCATGGTGCACTAGTACCCATGAACCTACAAAAATGGTGCAATCTTCCCCAATCCATTAATATGGCATTGTTGACTGTTATCATGAAAGAGATGAAATGCTGACGAGTATTATTGATAGAAGCTTACTCTATCAAATTAACGGTTTATGGATAGAAAGCTTATTCTATCATGTCTGCAACAGCCTCTAACCAGGAGAATTAAGGAGCCTTTTGAGAGGCTATTCTACTCCTCAGCAACATAAGTACCTTCTATTGGAAGCAATGATTATGAGCAACCAACAAAGCATCCAAAACTTGGGAAATTGCACTGTTTTTGTCAGTTCATGGGTACCAATGCACCATAGTTGAGTTGAGAATACCAATAGCTCCCCAAGAAATACCTCTCGGGTAATTTGGCACCTTAAACCTATAAATTAAAATGAATTAATAGAAGCTCTATCTGTTTAGAAAAGTAATGTAAAATGAGATATCGATTTGTGCTTGCTTCACAATCTCTCACTCCAACAAAATAATGTAATTGTATTCTCCAGACACTGAATTGAAAGCTTGTACCATATATCAATTTCAATTAAGCAGATTCGTCACTAGATTTATTTAGATTTTCCACTCTGAGTTAATCAAGTTTATCCATTAACTCTAAAGCCAACACCAATCTTACAAAAAACCATACTGCAGTTCTACAAGAACAACACATTAACAACTTTGACTACTTAAAAACAGCAGGCATGAGTAGCCCATGCTCTACACAAACCCTTATCATATTATATAATACTTGCTACTTGTTAAATAAAAAAGTTTATGGCCTAAAGAAACCCCTTTATGAATCATGTGCAGATCACCTGGAATATATCTTTGCCCAAAAGAGCATTGCCTAGGCCAAAGATCTAGGTCACCAAATTAGATTTGATTTAGCAATAATCAGTTAAGGTTTCTCACACAACAATTAATTTGACTGAGAAATTACAGAAATAACGTAATCACTAGTAAAGTTGTATGAATTGAGTAAAAGATATGATTGAACTGCAGCATCCAATATCATGGACTATTTAGGTGACTAGATAACAACAGAAGACCAGATAGAGCCGTTCAAGAAACAAAGGTTCAATTACTGAATGAACTACTATGACAATTTGTTGAGTAAATTAATGATTTAGTCCATGAAATATCACCTTCTCAATTTAATTCTCAAATAAAAATGTCTCCTAATTTAGTGCTCCTACCAAACGAGCCCCTGCATTAGGACTTGATTTCTCTTCACTGTATTTCTCTCCATTGCATCGCTACTACACTTCCAAAACCATTTAGATTAAATTTTAATGATATAGATTAAATTTATACTTCCTAAAAACTATCAAATCTGAACCATCAAATTTAATCCAAAGGACCATAGTTGCAATTATCTCTCCAATAAGTGGGAAGAAACTGTTTTCCTTGTGTTAGGCAAAGTCATAGCAACTTAATATTTATAGACTAGATGACAAGCGACAAACAAGAGTCCGTATGACTGTTAATTATGATGTCGACATGGACTTGCTCAAACGTTATATTCTGAAAAAACGACATTGTTTTGCCTAATTTAATGATCTTGCCGAGCCAGGTGGGCTTTGAAAAATCAAGCATAAGTATGGTGTTTGAAAGAATGACAGTTTCTTTTCTTGTTTATACCATGTCTGTTGAGTGACTATGACTTTACCTATAGCAGAGGACCATTTTGACTGGGGGACTAAATTGAGAAAAGGGTGCTCTTATGAATTAAATAATTAATTTACGAGATTTTATTTCATTCTCCAGATTGCATAAGTATCCTTACATCAGGTTTTGTTTGCAATGGAGCAAGTGTTGTGACTAATTCCTTTGTATCAGGCCGCTCCCTCGGCTCATATTGCAAACATTTAGAGGCCAGATTGACAACTACTGCTGCCTCTTCTTTAGAGAACTTTCCCTCTAAATGTGAATCCATGAGAAGCATGTTGGCTTTCCCCTGTATCATGTCAAGTGCCTGCAACTAGAATCAGATAACTCCATATGGCACCAATGAAGATCCATCATCAAACAGGTTAAGGTTAGAAATGAAAATATTTTTTTTTAATTGTCATACAGCGACATCACTTTTCATGTGTCACTAAATTTTAACAGTATTTGTTGGTCAAAACTCTAACACCACAAAAAGGGCATAATAGATTACTATAATATGATGACAAGGTTCTACACAAAAAAGCTATAAATTCAATACTGACAAGATCAGGGAAAGAAGCAAGGCTTTTGATGACAAGTGGGAAGGATATGCACAAGTTTGACAGCAAACCAGCTCATTAGGCACTTTTATAGAAATAGGGTAAGATCGGCCAAGTTGGCAAGGCGTCTGTTCATAAATTGATATTTACTCTATGCTGGGTAATTGAGCTAGCTTAACAAAAGAAATTGCCACTCGAAGTCATAATATAGTAAATATATGAAGAGCAGTAAGTGACATGACAAATGAAAGGCTACTCAAAATTAAAAAATAGTAGCATATTGAATAACTATTAAGATATTATATTACCGTTGCAACTACCAAATTTCTTTCTAAGCTCAACCCACCATCTATGGTAGTTAATCCATGTTCACTGGCTGAGTATAGTTTCCTAATGGCGAGTATAAATATCCAGTCCACACGGAGGAAAATAATTATTGATATTTCATTATATGTCAACAAGAAAATTTTATAGAAGCTCCACTGGATGTGCTTAATTGGGCAAAAAAATCATAGACAGCATAAAAATGATCAGGTAAACAACAAGAATAGAGGAACAGAAAAGGTATTGGCAGATATAAACCACCTACATGACTTGGAGGGATGTGTTTTCCACTTAGCAAGTCTAGGAGAACAGTACCAAAGCTGTAAATGACACTTTCAGGAGTGACCCTTCCTACATTTTGATGAAGTAATGATGAGGTAATTGTGAGTATATAATAAATAAGATAGTAAAGGTAACAGGAAAATCGTCATGCAACAAATTTGCTGTGATTTCCTTTTCACAAATTAAATTATACTTTGACCAAGTAGAAGAATAAAGGAGAAGCTACATAATAGAGGTCAGGCAGCACGGACACGTAGTACCATTTCTTAAGTACTCAGGAGGTGTGTAAGCAAGATTCGTGCTATAACTTTTTCCATCCCTACTGTTCTTCATCAAACCAAAGCATGATAGACGAGGATCACCTTCCTAAGTGATCCATCAAAAAATCAGATGATTTGCCAATATATCATTAATATCATAAGCAACAACTCATAAAGCAAAGCATCTATGGAAAAAATTAGAGTTACAATAACAGCAAGTATACTCTACCTCATCAAATAGAACCCTATAAGCATTCAAATCATGGTATAATGGGCGACCCTCGGAACTACAGTAATTTAAAGTTTCTGCAATGGAAAGACCCACTCTTAAGCGCATGGCCCACTCAATGGTCTGATTTTCCCCTGAAATAAACAGCAAAAACTAAAGCTTGAACTGAGATAAACAGCAACCCACCTAATTTAACTCTTGATGTTTCCATTGTGGGCAACAAAATAGACTTGTTCTAGTAAAGAATATATAGGTTACATTAACCTTAGTACAACCTATACCAATGTCCTCTTAAGATTGTGAAAACAAAGTTGGGAAAACTTGAAAAACGAACTACTGCAGCAGCTAATAAGCAGTAGTCACTTAGATTCAGGGGGTGAAAAAATAGCAACGCTTGATTCCCTTTCGTAATTGTATGCCAAAAGATTTTAAATGGATAGGTAATAAGAAAGGTCCAAGTACACATGGCTAAAATTGATGACAGCGCTTGGCCGCAAAGTGAGAGCCGATGAGGCGCCCTTGAGCTAAAGTGATCAGAGCTAGTAGAATATTTGTGAAACAGGTGATACATACAGTGGAAAAGATGCTTAGCGAGAGTGTCATTGGGCATGTATTCTGCAACAAGTAGTCTCTCATCTCCATCACAGCAGTAGCCAATCAAATTAGCAAGCCTGCGATGTCGCAATTTTCCAACACCTGACGCCTCTTCCTAAGAACAACATAGTTTGGCGAAGAGATAGATATCAAAACACTTTTAGAAAAAGGAAAACCCAAGAAATTTGATAGTTGAGAAGAAGAAAAAGTGATAGAAGATGAAAGGTACCACAAATTGCTTGGGATCGGGCCATGCAGCCTTGGTGAACTTCTTGACGGCAATCCAGCGGCGGTTGGGGAGGCGACCTTTATATACAAGGTTAGGTGCCTTCTCTCCACTCTCAGACACAATAAATTCGGAGCTAAAATTATTGGTGGCTGCTTTGAGGTCGGCGAAAGAGAACTCGGAGAAAGAAGGAACGCCGGCGGCGGATGGGTCGGCGGTCAGAGAAGGTGGCGGGTGTGGTTGGGTATGGATGTGGTTGTGAGTGTGAACATGGTAAGGGGGTTGTTGATTTTGCTGCTTTTCTGGGTGAGTCTCGGTCAGAAGTGAAGATGGGCAGCAACCCATGGCTCGAATGAGTTACACAACCTTCTCTGCCAAGGGATCGCACAAACCATAGATGACTTCTAGTTGATGCCGATGCTACTGCTACTTGCTAACCACCCACAAGCTGGTTTTTGTTCCGAGTCTGAGAAGATAGAGCGGAACTCGTTGTCTCTTTTTTGGCTTTTAGATAGGGGTAAAAGAGAGTCTTGTGATGACTGCACCGTAAACTATTGATTCTTCATCCCCCTACAGTTGCTTGCGGGTTATAAAGACGCGACACGTACGGTGTACTTGGGTGATAAAAAGGAAAACAGTTGTAGTAGTTGAGGCCTATTAATACTGGAGATCTATTTTCAAAACCTCAACCTCGGCAAATTAATTTTATTTATCTACGGTCCACCCTCATTTCAGTTGCCATAATTGGTAAAAATTACGTATCGCTAATTTTCTTTTCTTTCTTTCTTCTTTTTTTTTTTTGACTAAAAGAAACTTCATTCACAAAGAGATAAACAATTACAAACTAAGAAAAAAAATCCAAGAAAGGAAAGACAAACGACCCCCTTAAGGAACCAAAAAAGCCTAATGGGGAGGAGGGAGATACAAGTTAAAATTACATGAAACATTGTATGCTAATTTAACAAGGTAGGCAGCATCCTTGTTGTCATTTCTATACAAAAAGTAGATATTAACATTTCAATTCTTAATTAAAAGCCTTGTATAATGTCGTAAAAGGGATGGTAACTATAGTTGTCTCTTGTAATAGTCGAGATAGCATATTCATTATCACAAAAGGCCTCCACAGTTCTATATCCCTTCTTCCAACATAATTTTAACCCATAAAAAATTTTATAAATTCTTGTAATGCCAGCGGGGACATGATCCAGCTTTTGATTAAAACCAAAAATCCAATTCCTGATATTATCTCTCATGATACCTCTATGCGTACTACGCCCATTACTAAGAACAGACCCTATCCATCTCCAGCCTAATTGCATCTATCCTTGATTGATGAGGATTGTTAGCAAAATGAAGACATTCATGGTTTCCAGCTTGAGTAAGTATCTTCATATCAGCAGCTACTTTGAAAAGGAAAGCAAAAGGATCTTCCATAGATCTTCTTCCTCTACTTGAAAGAGAGTCTTGCATTTAACTTTTCAAATATTCTAACAAGTATAAGCAAAAAGGGTGCTCCAAGGGACACACTGTGTGAAGTGATTACCAACTTGTGCTTTTAAATTCCATGATATCTACTCCCTTCTATTTAAGCTAAAAAATTTATCCATAACATTTGGCCGCACATATTCCTTCCACCACTTCATAGCATGAGGACAGTCTCTGAATAAATGCATAGAATCTTCAATGTAAGAACACCTGAAGGGACAAGGGCGGTCCACATCTAGACCGCGTTTTTGCTGTAGCTTCATTGTGTGTACTTTATCATGTGCCATCAACTAAAGAATGGATTTGGTCTTCTCAGATATCCTCTATCTCCAGATGATGTGCCAAATGGGGTCTGTATGAACCTCCCTACCTGCAAAAAGGATAGAATAACCAGAGTGCATAGAATAATTTCCATCATTAGAAAAAATCCATAAGCATTTGTCCACTCCTCTCTCCTTACAAGGGGTTTTCAAGCTAGAAATGAGATTTACAACATGATTCAAAAGCCAATATCTTAATTTTACAAACACCTATTGACCCGAAGGAAGAGCACAATTGTTTACACTCACATTAAGATCTATAAATTCTTTGCCCTGCTCCACATAATCAATCACCATTTATATCCATATTCCTAAAGAACTGATTCTGTCTCCCTATTCCTTTGCCTTTGTTATTGGTACACTCACTGCAATCACTATATCATTTTTCTTTAAAAAAAATTAAGTATCAGTTTCGTGAAATAGACTTATTTATAAATAAGTGTTGTGAAATTCAAGAATTACAATCAGGTCTCTTAAGACTTAAGTGTCATTTGAAATTAAGCTGTAAAGATAATAAGACCCCAATACTTCATCAACAATTTATAAATATAATTTTAACTTTTTATAACTATAACTTCACATATCAAATAGCTAAACTGATTAATTTAATTATTAAATATATATAAAGATATAGTTATAAAAAGTTAAAATTATGGTTATAAATTGTTAATGAAGTAATTGTAAATTATTTGATTGATGTAATGTATGTATACATATATTTAATAGGAACATTATTGTTTTTTATCACAATTTCAAATTATAATCAATTTTTAAGGAACTTAGACATGGTTTTTAAATTTTATAAGATTTTTTTATAAATAAGCCATTTTTATGAGATTTTTTTGTAATTTCTTCTTTTTCTTTTTGTTAACTTGATGGAAAAACGGATGCCGAACGGGAAGCGTTAAAAATCAGTATTGATTTTCCTTTTGTTACACTCACTTTCTCTGGTTGCAAGAGATGATGGAGGAGTCAACGTCGCGAACCTCCCGGGTACATCCAAACGACTTGCTTCATGGGCTAGCCCAACGCGACCGCTCGCGTGCAAGTGGTGGCTGCTACAAGCATTTTATTCACCTTTTCTCCATACTGTAATTGTTGTAAGTTTTTTTGCTTAAAAAAAAAGGTAATTGTTGTAAGTTTTATCTTGAGAAGAAATTGGTATTCATTGCGTCTATGATTCCAATAAACTTAGAAGAGATTCGAATTTTCTTGACTAAATCAAAGGCTTCTCAATTGTTGTCCCTGCTCTATTATTCAAAAAACATCTCATGTCTTAAATTATTTATCATAATATTTTTATTTTTAAAATAATTAAAACATAATGTATTTGTTTATGACATTAAATACTCCAATATTAATCACTAAAAATACTGTTTGAAATTTAAATTTAGTTAAAAATGTCACTTGTCACGCCAAATATTCAAGTTAAGGTTTTTTTTTTTACATTTTAATTATTTTAAGGATGAAATTGCTACAATGCAAATAATTTAGGACATTAGATGTTCTTTGAAGAATAATTTAAAAATAAAAATGTATCTTAATTTAAATACCATCGGCATGATGTGACGTTTTCAATCAAACTTAACTTTCATTCAACATTTTGAATGTTCAACTTTAAAATATTTAATGCTAAAAATAAACATGATATGTTTTAATTATTTTAAATAATAAAATTGATATAACAAATATTTTAAAATATTAAATATTCTTTGAAGAATATTTTAAAAATAAAAATGTATCTTAACTTTTTTTTATTTATTAGATTAGATACCTAAACTTGTCATTCCTTCTTATCCAATTAATGTATTACCGTACGTGTGAAGTTGAAACTAACTCTCATGTTCTCTATTCGAATTCCTTGCCAGAATGCTTTATTATCCAATTTTCTTTTGGAAAGAGAAAAAGTAGCAAGCATATTATATCTTTATTAAGTAGGGCCCCCATTTGCAGACTAAATAAAATTAGCAGTTTTTGCCATCTCCTCTCCCACAAAATGCTTTTCAAATGTTGTACAGGCTTTATTATTCATTAAATGCAATTTCTTCCAAAGCCATCCTCTCTCAATAATAATAAAAAAAATTAGAGATTTCATTATAAAAAATTAGATAATTACTTTTAATTATATTTATAAAGAAACAAATAGATATATTAACTTTGTAAATCAGAAGACTTCAAGCCTTCAAGTGATAATTTTGACATCATGACATTTCACAATCCAACCCCAATTATAGACACCTTATGGCGTTAAATATAACTTGATCTTAGTATTTTTACTCAATTTTTTTGTGGCCTTGCATCAAAAAAAGAGAGAATTACAACCAACCCTTTCTCAAGATAATTAACTATGGATAAGGACCAATGCGGAACGGATTGTTATTAAAATGGAAAACATAACTTATTTTTTCTCAAATGAGACTTATTGTTGGTACTGGTTCGTGATTAATTTCCTTGAGAGAAGAATGGCTGTAATTCTCCCTAAAAAAATTGCCTCTCACCTTATCTTTAAAAGTTAATTCACTCACACCTCCACTTTTCATACACCTACATGTAGCATTTGGCATTTTCTCAGTACACCCAAGTTCACAATTCAAATATTTTTACAGTTCCTTATATCAAATCTCTTAATTCATCATCAAAAGAGATGGGTGAGCACGTTTGTAAGGGAGAATAGTAATTTAGTTCATCAAATTAAAAACATGATTGATGATATTTTTAAAGGGCTTGATTATTTCTACATTTATAGTGTATGGATATATATTAATATATTTTATCATACTTATTATAAGGGGAAGAGTGGTTTAATTTATTTTTTTTATTTTTGTTAGTCAATCCCATTCTATTCTATTATAATAACTAAACGAGATATCACCCTTCATTTGGATCGAAAAAAATAGAGAAAAAAGAAAACTAGGAAGACAAACTGTTGAAAATAGTAAAAACATACTATTTTTTTAAAATTTCTCCTCCTCCGTTTTTCCCCTTTCATATTTTCTTTCAACTTTTCCCTATATTCAAATCAAGCCTTACATGTTTGGCCAAAATAATCAAGCCTTAAAAATTAATGAAAACTTTTGAAAAAAAAAAAAGAGAGAGCATAAGATAATTGAAGCTAATTGCAAAGAGAATTTTTTTGAACATGCATGCGTTGAAGACTTTTAAAAATTAATGAAAATTTTTAAAGAAAATTGAAATTATTAAACTTTTTAAAAAAGATGGAAGATAATTGAAGTTAATTATAGGAAATTTTCTTCATTCCTTAACAAATAGTTTTGAATATTCTTGAAAAATTTAGAAGAAAATAAAAGGCTTTTAAGATTTAAAGGCTAAAAAATGTTGAAGGGATTGCATATTATCGAAGAAAAAAAATGAAAATTGTTGATGATGGAAATAATGAAGATTGCGTGATTCATGCATGCACATTGCATCAGTTTAGGAATAGTGATAGAATATAATATTTTATTATTATTACACACATGTGATTGTAGGCAAGATGCATGGGATTTTTGCTACATGATACTATATATAGTTGTACATTGTTGACCATGTAAATGAGTGATATACACAATATTCAATCAAATCTGATGTGGTATCAGAGTGTCGGTCTCAAAACCATGCAAACCAGAGATTTTGACACTAAACAGAGAGCATAGCAGTGGACGGAAAGATCATCGTGAAGGAGGGACTCACCGAAGGTGTGCATGTGCAATCACATTATTGCGTTTATACATCAGATAATTCAGGTCA